TTATATTTTATTATTTAACTCTACAAGTTACTCAATCATTAGCTATGTCAAATGCTGAGAAGAAAAAATGTTAATATCTCAATGAATATCTAGAAGCTAGTAATTTTCTCATGCCAAATAAAAGTTAAAAGTTCACTAAAATTTTTAAGATATTAATTTTTCAATTGTTTTACTTTTGCTGGAAAATACGTTTAAAATTAAATTTATTGAGGTGACATTGGTTAATAACACTATATTAGTTTCAAGTGTACAGTATATTGCATTGTCTGTCTCCTTCCGTTACCGTATATTTGACCTCCTTTACCTCATCATTCTCCCTCCATGACCCTTCCCCTCTGGTAACCACCATACTGTTGTGTCTGAGTTTGTTTGTTTGTGGGTTTGTTGCTTTCTGTGTTATATCCCATATATGAGTAAAATCATATGGTTCTTGTCCTTTTCTTATCTGAACTTTTTCCCCTGAACATGATACTCTCAAGATCCATCCATGTTGTTGCAAATGGCAGTACTTCATCCGTTCTTATGGCAGAGTAGTATTCCATTGTGTGTGTGTGTGTGTGTGTGTGTGTATATATATATCTCACATCTTCCTTATCCAATCATTTATTTTGGGACACTTAGGTTGTTTCCATATCTTGGCTACTGTGATACTGTGAATAATATTGCAATGAACACAGGTGTACATATATCTTTATGAAACAATGTTTTCAAAAATTTCAGGTAGATACCCAGAAGAGGAATTGCTGGGTCATCTGGTAGGTCTGTTCTTAATTTTTTGAGGCACCTCCATACTATTTTTCATAGTGGCTGTACTAGTTTAAATTCCCCTGCAGTGTAGGAGGGTTCCTTTTTCTCCACATCCTTGCCAACACTTGTTACTTCCTGTCTTATTGATTATAGCCATTCTAACAGGTGTGAGATGGTGTCTCATTGTGGTTTTGATTTGCATTTCCTGAAGAGCTAGTGAAGTTGAGCATCTTTTCATATATCTGTTAGCCATTTGTATGTCTTCTCTGAAGAAGTATCTGTTCAGGTCCTCTATGCATTTTTTTTTTAAAGATTTTTATTGGGGAATTGGGGGGATGGGAACAGTGCTGGGGAATTGGAAGGGAAACAGACAAGTTGCTGTTGTTTTGTTCTTCAATATAGTTGTGGAGGACGTTGCTTCACTGGCCCAAGTTGGCACCATCATTGCGCTCTTCTCTGGCGAGGCAGATCAGTCGCCGGCTTCTGAACGGTCGCTCACTGCGGCTG